GATGGACACAGCACCCGCATGTCGCTTGCAGTCACCAACTACCTTCGCTCGATCAACATTTTTTTATTTTTGATCCCCCCGAATACGAGCCATTGCCTATCCCCGAATGATCAATGGCATCAACATATCAATCGGACACGTATTTCTTATACACTGCGCCATTCACGGCAGCTAGTTGGAGAGGCAGCCACCCTCGACGAGGAATTGTGTGCTCTTTATTTTGCCATCCACTTTCAAAGCAGTCAAGTCAAACGGGTACAGGCTGCCTTCCGCCATGCAGGCATTACGCGCTTGGAGCGAGCTGTTAGACACATGAAGAACCAACCCTCACACGTTGAACCCGAGGATACAGCAGTGACGCCTCCCCAAAGCCCGGCAAGCACGCCATCTGGTTCAAGCACTCCGAGGTCAAACACAACGCCGCAGCCACTGGTACGGGTTTGGGACGCCAATTGGAGTCTTGATGAAGGCCGGGCGCACTTCGATCGTCTGGCTGCGAGTTTTTCACGCCTTGAAGAGCGTCATCAAGATATGATTCGCTCGACGCCGCGTCAGCGCCGCCTACTCGATCGCATCACGCCTCAAGAGCGGTAACGACGGCGACGTGCCCCCATTTTTGGGCCAATGTCATCGGGGCCAAGCGCCGCAGATCTCGAAGGGCGTGAGCGGCGCCGTGTTCATCTTCATGCGTCGAGGGAACGACGAGCAACAAGAGTGGCAAATGAAGCTGATCTACGTGCTGCTTTGAACGTACAACGCATCACGATTGCCAACCTGAAAAGCTTCTGTCGATCGCATTGCCTCGGCACGACTGGCAGCCGTGCCGAGCTCATCGCACGCACGAGGACACAACTCGAGCTCCCACAGCCCCCAACCACTCCCTCATCGCCAGGCAGGCCAGCTGGGGAGGTATTCGAGCCTTTGGCAACCCCTTTGGCGCAGATTGAGTCCCGAGAGGACGCCGAGCTCACCCCCATGCCTGCGTCTCCGCCGCGTGATGACCGAAATTCACTTCCCTCAGATTCAACCCCGCCCACTCTTACAGCAGCATCAGCAGCACCTTCTCTTGACCGAATCGTTGAAGAGGAGCCTCAAGAACCTATTGCGCGTGTCGGAGGTCACTTTGCAGACTCCGATCTCCAGTTTTGGCTCCGAGACTATACCTCTCAAACTCAACCATTTCAGGACGCAACGGGCCTCGAATCAAACGCGCCAGCCGCGCCTCTGGCCTGCTCAAATACAGACCAGAACGAGATTGATTTGCTCATCAGGGCTTGCGACGAGAGTACCAAAAAGTACAAGGCGTATATCGACTCACTGATCGCACTAGAGCCCCATACTTCCACGTCTTAAAAATAACACGAATTGAACCTTATTTATTACAACCGCCACCACTGCACGAAAACCCACTTTTCTACTGATTTTTCTCGCCCTACCTAATTGAGCATCTTTGAAAAGCTGGTTGCCCCAAGCCTCCCTGCACCACCGTCCCCGATAGACGAGAAACGTCGTGTATCAAGTTCTCACAAGTTCCAGAGCAGGCACGTCCTATAGAAGAAACAAAACAATAATGTAACTCTTGATGTAGGGCAGCCACGCTCAAAAAATGGCATCTGACAAATTCAACAGATCTGTGCGGTTTGAATCATTCCAAGTGGGCTGAGATCTGACCACAATCAACGCCGACCGCCATCCAACAAATCACCCCTATGAGGTGCGACCTCCTCTCCAACAACCATTTTTGACAACATTTGAAAATTTTATTTTTGGTAACAAATGTCCAAAGGTAACAAATACCCTCGGTGACTGTACAGTTCACTGTACATCCTGGGGGTAACTTTTTGTCTCGGGAAACTATTTCTTGTGGTTTTGGGTTTGAGCCAAACAAATTCATGGCCAAACCGTTCCTTCGAAATGGCAGCAGGACCTGACCTTGCACATGGTATACCTCATCACAGCTTCGTGTTAGAAGGTGTTGCAGCTGCACAGTGCGATAAAACATGACTCTTGGACCATGGCGCTCAAGAGGTGCCATTTTTTTCGTTTCTATCTCGAGTTACGGCGCTGCCATTTCGTGGCTTGTTCGCATGGAAGGCTCTTCTCGCCCTCTCGCCGATGATGGAGCCCAGGCCTTCGACATGTATCAATGGCGGGTACACACGTGAACACAAGGTACCTAGCATTGGCATCTGACTGATGGACAAACTATTTTGCAAGAAAACTTGGACGAGGGAGAGATCAACACCGATGAAGGGCTGGGTTTTCGATTGCCTCTCATCTCAAATCTTTCTGTACAGGCGCAGCGTCGTGTGCAAGCCACGCATGCTCTGGAGATGTACGAGCTAGTTCGCCGTGGTACTGCCACAGAGACTGCTGTCAGGGACAAGGCTCGAAAGGATGGCATTGGGCGCATTTCTCGGTCCCAACTGAAGCTTCTTTGCCCTACCAGACCCTCTCACGTGAAGATGGGGCATGTCACTGCCCCTGTACGGCGTTTCCCGCTGTGAATTCGAGGCTGCCCGCGGTCGACGCCGGAGAGGAGACGTCATCCATGATGGACGACAGCTCTGCACAAAGGCAGAACGTGTCATTCTTGCCAATTGGCTGTCGACAATGAGCGATTTGCGCAGCAGTCGAACCAGAAGTCAATCAACGCTAGCCATTTGTGAGATTCTACAAGTTCGCGAACGCGCGTTGCAAGACCAAACACGCCTCCAACCGGTTATTGCAGACAGCATTGCGCCTTTATCGGCACCAGAACGGAAGCTTCTGCGGCAAAAAGAGGCGTACGATCTATCTCCAGCTGAGGCTGTCCGCCCCACAATTAGTAAGCAGTGGTTTCGAGCCCTTGAGAAGGAGTTTGATTTGAAGCTCACCAAGGGGCCAGAGCCTTGGCTTTGACTCAGACAACCTGCGAGGCGTATTTTACATGCCTGGAGGATGCTCTCTCCAGATTAGATTTTGTACATCAGTCTGGGCGCCATGTCGGATGTATCAAGGCATCATGTAAGTTGGCTGATCGTCGCTCCCAAGATAGCCTTTTTTTTGGCCCTCTTACGCCATGCGTTTGCCGTAGGCTTATCGCGCATTTGGGGTGTTGATGAGATGCCGGGCCTACGCACTGGACTTGGCACGACGCAGGTGTACACCTCAATGGCTCGACGCGAGGATGCCGGGGTTGTGCGAGGTCGAACACACAACGAGCCAGTCACCGCTGTTTTGGCAATTTGCATGGATGGTGACATGGCCCCACCCATGATGATACATGCGCGACGGGCCTTGAGTCCGCGAGCTATTGGTCCTGCCCAACTTCCGTCTACAGTTGCATCCGACGCGTCATTTGACCACTTCATGATTTGCAGCACCCATTCAGGCTATATCAATCGGCGCCTTTTTGTTGCCTTTTGTCGGCGGCTCAGGGCATACATTGGCGATCAAGAGCCATTGTTGCTGCTTTCAGACGGCCATACCACGCGCATCGACGCTGATGTTGTTGCATACCTTCGTACCATCAACATTTTTCTCCTTGTCATCCCACCCAACACCAGCCATGCCCTTGCGCCATCTGACCAATGGCATTGCTATATCCATCAGAAGCGGCGAGACCTGTGTTTGCTCACAACCGGGGTTGTGTATGGGCATGCCCCAACGTTGGACGAAGAAATTCAGGCGCTCTACCGTGCCATTAATGTTCAACGCGAGTACCCAAGTCGGATTCAATCTGCATTTCGTCATGCTGGGTTGTCCAAAACCTCTCGAGGCACGGAACATATGTCAAGCCAACCCAGGTTATCGCGTGCGCACTCGCCAAACCCACGGCGCCGTGTCACCACTGAAGGATCAACAACGCCCTCTCACATACGCCACGCAAGCCGTGAGATCGATGAGGACATGCCTCGAACGCCAACTCCTCCAAGTTCCGACTCGACACCCTTCAGCTCCAGCATGTCTACCCCGCGGAAGATTGCAAAAGCACGCAGCTTAAGCAAAGCTTGCGAGCGACTTCAAGGCGTTGTTAGTCAGCTTCAACACGCGTTGGACAGCAGTCGTGTTGCATTGACCAACTTGCAAGTTGATCTGAGCCCGAGGCTTCAAATACCAACTCCTCGCCGAGGCTCTCGGCGGTCCCAGGTTTGGGGTGGCCTGTCTTGGGGTGACAGCGCACTTCGCCTCGAGCAGCAACAACAAGCCAGGAGGCATCACGTTCGACGCAACCAGCGTCATGCAAGCGAGGCAGATCTATGCGCAGCTTTAGGGGTGCACAGGATCACAATATCGGCCCTCAAAGCCGCGTGTCGTGATCGTCGTTTATCCTCAACCGGGAGTCGCGCAGACCTCATCAGCCGTGTTCGAGGCTCATTGGGTCTCCAATCACCTGACACTGCGTTTTCACATGCAGAACAAGTGCAAGGCTTCACCGAGCAAGATCCTGTACGTGATACAGCTGCGTCATCGGCTTCCATACCCCCAACGATGGCCAGCACCCCTCTGACATCCTCTGATACGGGGATGTCGCAAGAAACCGAGGATCCTGTCTTAGCTGACACAAATACAGCATCCACAATGCATTTATCAGTGAACCCAGATGAATGCGGATCGAATGAATACCATCTTGCTCACAACGCCCCTGCTGACTTTGCGTTCTGGCTTCGACCCATCCCTGCAAACACGTTACTATCATCACGTGAAGAGCAAGACCACAACCCGTCAACGCTTGCAGCAATGGAGATGGTCCAGCCGGATCCTCTTGAGATGCAACAAATTATTGAACGTCTTGACGACGGCTGCCGCCGTCATCGAGATCATATGGCTGCGTTGAAGCGCCCCCACACCTAAATTTGGTCCTACCAGCGCCTCGCTGCGAAAGTACGTCACGTTACAAATTCTATTGCAGCCTGTGGCAGCGTTCGCTTGAGCAGAGTTTCAACAGCACATAAGTTTGAGCAAGGTGCCCACATGCTCAATGTTTGAATTTTAAGAATGCAATACTCGTAGATGTCCTGTAGGGCGTCTGCCAATGTGACCCTGTGCCTCCGTGCCCGTGTTAGCGTCAAATCCGTGCTTCCACGCATTTGAGCACTCCCACTGCTTTCGCACACACTCAGCATCGGTCGCTATGGGTCTTCCTATTGGTATCCCATAGCTGCGACGACCTCACACTGACACCTACACTTGGACCCCCTGGGCCTGGTCCTCCTCGTGGGAGTCACATGAGTAAACACCGCGTGTGACGCGGTCCCCACGATGCCTGGGCAGCTGCCCTGGGGCAATAAGCTTGTGACTACTGTTGTTTCCCTTTGTTGGGGTACCTGCGGTCGGGCACGAGTTGCACTTTCCCTATCCTCGGGATTGAGCGACTCTACAGCTATTCTAACGGTGCACCTGGTCTGGTCACTGTGAATGCTTGCCGACCGCAGGTACGTCAAGCCCCCTGCCATTCTGTCTTCCCTTTGCTCTCCTGTGTGCTCTGCTCTCTTGTGACTTTCCCTATCCTCGGGATTGAGCGACTCTACAGCTATTCTAACGGTGCACCTGGTCTGGTCACTGTGAATGCTTGCCGACCGCAGCTGGTTCAATTGACCTCAAGACACCACCAAAGCTTTCGCTCCGTCCCGACGGACGTCTCTCAAACCTCTCTCAAAACGCTTCCTCAAACCTACGCGCTTCCTCGCAACCCAAAGACGGCCTCCAGACGTGCTGGAGCCTGACAGCCCGACCCAAAGGCGCCTGCTCCAAAATAGCCCTTCAAAGCGCTGAAATGCCTGAGATTGCTCTTGTTGAGTGATCAATAACTAAGGCCATGCCATCTCCGTGGGCTCTGCGCCATCAATTTTCCACTTGATATTGTTGTTCGCGCCCGACAAGCCTTGAAAGATAAAGACTTTGACCGTGCCTGCCCAAAAAGAAGTCGAAAAAAGAGCAAAATCCTCAAAATGAAAAACTGCAAGAAATAGTTTCCCGAGACAAAAAGTTACCCCCACTGTACATGTACATCGTAACATGAAATTTTTTCTTCAAAGCGTTGCAGCATGGCAAAGCCGAGGGTGCTGGTCACGGTCGGTCCGTCCAACTCCTTCAAGTTGGAGGCCATTGATCCAGGCTTTGAGCCCAAGATGCGTGATAGCGTAGAGCTTGTGTGTCTAGAGGATGCCATAGCTGCGGCCGAGACCAATCCGGTCCAGGTTTGGGCCTGTTTTGCACACAGCTCGGTGCGTAGAACAATTTTGGTTGAATCCGGAGCTCTAAGATCCAGTGATGGATGCAGTCTGTGATGTGTGGTCTCATGGCGGATTTTGCTGCCCACCATCGAGCAGGTCAACCCGGACGTCGTTCGCAAAATTTCACCACGCAACACGTTGCGAGCTGTCGTCAACTATGGTGTGGGCACGGATCACATCGACCTCAAAGGTGCGGCTCGCAGTCCATGTCAGCCACGGCAATATTGCTGCGACTTTGTGTCCAATGAGCAGCTGAACTGTGGCGTGCGCGTGTTGCATAGGGTTGGCGGAGATGGGTGTCCCTGTGAGCAATACACCGGGTGTCCTTAACGATGCGACAGCCGAAATGGGCTGGGCCCTCTTGATGGCTTGTGCCCGCCGTATCCCTCAATGCGACCAGTTTTGTCGCACGGGTCAGTTCAGCAAGTACAATAACCTGGTCTATATGGGAAAGGCTATCGCCGAGACTACACTCGGCATCGTGGGTTTGGGGTGCGTCGTTGCTGCTCAAGCCAGCAGATGCCTGCACGTTTGGCGTTCAAGCGTGTTGCAATTTCTTGCTGAGACGGGTCCTTATCATCGTCTCATCTTGATGTGCTTGAGTATAGCCGCATCGGACAAGCCGTGGCCGAGCGCGCCGTGGGCTTTCGCATGCAAGTTTTGTATGCGGGGCGCTCGCGTCAACCTGTTGAGGTGGAGGCACGCTGTGGAAACGCACAGCATGTCCCGCTTGATGACCTGCTTGCGCGTGTAAGTTTTCGACATTGGCTGCATTCGCGCATGGCACGGTTGATGTGCTCGCTTACCCAAGAGTGTGCTCACGTGTCATGTGGCGGGACAGTCAGACTACGTGGTGCTTTGCTGTCCGGCAACGGCAGAGACAAACAAGCTCATGAACAAAGAGCGACTTCACATGATGAAAGTACGACACGTTTGTGTTTCTACACTTGTTCTCTCTGCAAGTCGAGCAAGTTGACCTACTCAAGTTGCGTTTGACCCCTTCCTTTTTTTTTTTTCTCATGTTCGCTTGTCCTTCTGGGGTGGTGATCAGTCCACAGCCTCCTTGATCAATATTGCCCGCGGCACTGTTGTGGATACGGACGCACTGGTCGAGGTAGGTGTCACACTGGCTCCTTGCACCGGAGCTGCACATCCCTTCCTTGCACCAGCCTTTTTTCTTCCATGGTAAAGATGAACGGAATTGCACGATCACGATCATAGGTGCTTCGCACCAAAGTCATTGACAGTGCAGGGCTTGATGTTTTTGAGCCCGAGCCATTGCCCACAGACCATGAGCTCTACACTCTCGACAACGTTGCTTTGGCTCCGCATCGCGGCAGTGCAACTTTCGAGGTCCGTCACAGGACTCGCAGTTTGTTGAGATGCCGTATTCATGCATGGTTCTTAACAATGCAACAATGTGCCTTGATAGACGCGCGCGGCCATGCTCAAGCTGGTGTGTGATAACATTTTTGCTGCTGTCGCGGGCGAGGAGCTCCTGACGCGCTGCAATTGAGTCCGAGTTTGGAAGGTAGTGGTGCCAGCCGAAGCATTCGACATGCACGCATTGTCTGCACTTCAATTACTCGAGTCAAACTACAAGGTTGACGCACAGCGTCAAAATGACCTATCATAGCCGCCTTGAAGGCGTTTTGCTTGCCGGTGGTTCTCATTAAGCTGAGGCACCCAATCGAGCCTGCCAGAATCCTTTGCCATAGGAGAGCAAGATCTCGTGTCCCCGTTTTATCTATTCGATGACATGTCCCATCACACGAGTCAGGCGTACAGGGAGAAATTCACTTGGGGCTCATGGGTTACAGATTCCTCTCTCACCCCCTGTTTGCTCTTGACAAAAATACGCATGACGGGCTTGCCATCTGCGAGCTCTGAGTAAACAGGAAGGATTTGCAATTGCAAAATGAGAGAGGATAAAAAAAAGACGGTGGTGTGGAGAGAACTCAAACCCAAACGCCTTGCTCAACAAACCTGCTCGAAATTCAGCATTGGCTGCTGTCGCTCCTGGCACACCACGGTAATCATTGATGAACCGCGCCTACAACAACAAGCGGTGCAGTCTGTGTGATGCGTGGGTGTTGCTGGCGTCAGCTCAAGCCCTCAAGGGACTGTCAGACACACCTCGTTGCCTTGGCCATCTGCATCGATTGAGAGTTGCTCTGCCAAGCGGAGAGAGTAATCGCTGCGTTCATCAATCCCCCATCATGCCGGCAAGAAACATTGCATAGAAGGTGAGAGGCGATGGGGACGGTTCGTAGCCCAGCACGACCCATTCGCCGCCTATTCGACGCTTGGAAGCGGCTGGAGCAGGCGTGCCTGGTCTGGGAGCATTCGTCGTCCAAGCTGACATAGCCGTGATAATCAGCCACCCAATCGCCATGCTTGAGATTGGCCGCAGCAAAAAGCCCATGCTACTCATTGACGGCCGCATTAGCACACGCGCGCTCGGAGGCATCGGTCATTCGAGCATTCTGGGGCTGACAGCTCTCTACCTGGCCGCAAGCTGGGTGCGCCGAGTCTTGGATGGCTTGGATTCGGGTTCGGCTTGCGCCCGAGGGTTGTCGATACGGTGGCAAGCGCTGCCAGGCAGGATCTGGACTGCTTTTGCAAAGCTCCGCGGCTCTCCTCGAGTAGACATCACTCTTGATCAACCGCACCCGAGTGTCCCGCGGCCAGCCTCGTGGAGCTGCCATGATGATGATGATGATGATCGAGAAAATGAGAAAGTCCTTTCATTACTCACAAAATACAACAACATCAAACCTCTCTCTCTCTCTCTGTTGTTACATGTGGTAGTTGTGCTTTTCCCTTTCTCTCTTTCTCAAACCGACCAAACCAATTCATTCTTCCTCTTCACACTTTTTTTTGTTTTTTTTTCACACACATGCATGTCAATGCGTTTTGATCCCAAAAAGTTGATTCACATGTCACATGACAGAAGAAAACTCTCACCCTTCGATTTCACAAGCAGCAAGGTTAGACAAAACACCGTTTGTGGTTCTGGCGGCTTGTCCCGATTAAAGACTGCGCAACCGCGATAGATGCCAAGGAAGATGGAAGAAAAGGACACGACGATGGCTTTTGCCAAGCCTCACAGGTGCAGTTACTACAGTTGTGTGCCCTCAACCTCCAACACCTTCTTCAATGCAAAATCATAGAGGAGAGTAAACTGCTCCAGTGTTTGAATGGTCATGGGACGTTGGGAGCGCACGATCGAGACCATGGTGCGCACGTCTGGGATGTAGCCTTTGCGAGTCTGTTCGAACATGCGGCAAAATGTGTGAGCGAAGCAAGAGCCAAAAACAAATCAGATCAATCTACCAGTGACGCACCTTATTGGCAATCACGTCACTCAAGACCACTACACCCGAACGCCCAACGCCGGCGCTGCAATGCACCAGCAACGGGGCTGGTCGAGGCATTTCTGCCTGGAATGTCTCCAGCTGCAAAAAAACCATCGCCGTGAACATCTCAACCACCCCCAGCATCATTGGCACGGCAATACAGCATGAACATACTTGTGCTTGAAATCGGACCAGGTCCTCAAGGTCCGAAGGTACGCCATGATCCGGCCAAGACAAGAACTGACGGGGAAAAAAAATAAAAGGCAAACCAGGAAATTGGGCCAACCATGAATAAGCGCTAGTGGCGCGACATGATTGTTCTTTCCATGCTACGTATGCACCAACAAACAATTTCATTGACCAGTGTGCAGCACAGACGCAGGGCCTACCTGGCAATGCCGTACGACTCGAGATTGCGAGCGATAGTACAACTGCAGTTCCGTGATGTGCACCGTGTTAAACTCATCGCTATACGACGACAGGTGCTCCACAATCACATCGCCCGCGGTTTGCCGTTCACCCACGACCTGAGGCCAGTATGGATAGCACTTGTCGCGGCCGCCCTCTTGCAATTGCGTGACCATGGCAATTGTACCTACACCTTGCTGCGCGACCATTGTCCTGGATATCCAACAGAGACCATTGGTTAGAGGAGGTGGATGCTCATGTCTTTCACCGCAGACCTAGCCTAACCCGCAGCGGCTTTGTTTGTTGTTTTTTTTTTTCCAAAAAAAAAAAAAACAAAAGAACAAAAAAAACAAAACAAAAAAAAAGGCAATAGACCACGACAAGGCCGTCGTACCAAAAGTCATTGACCGTCGCCTGAAGGGGACCTTGAGCCATGATGTACTTGAGGTCATGTGGCTCATCGGGAAACACAATATGGTCCGCATTAATGTAGTCGCGTTCAGGAGGTACCCCCAACAAGCGTACACGATTGGTGTTGGTTGCCAAAATCTGCACATCAAGCCAGGCGGAACATGAAACCAGTCGGATAGCGCTGTATCGCAAGCGAGGCTCATGCCAAGGCGCAGTGAGATCAAGGGCAAAGCAGCTTACGTTGCGGTAGCGGTTGCTGCGAAGGGAGCCTGGGCGTTTTGCCATGCTAAAGTTCTCCGGCCTCGCCTCATCAAGCAACAGGTCCTTTTCAGCCTCTAGGGCATGCCAATCCTCCCGAGCACGGGCTCGGTCGGCGTTGAGTCGGGTCAACATGGTGGTGACTGGGTCCGAATAGCTTAGTTGATCCGGATGAACCACGCCCACAATCGCCTTGCCGTCCACAATGGCGTCATCCATCTACAACAGATGGTTATATTCCACAGGCGCACAGAATAGCAGCCCAAACAAAACCGTGAGAGGGATGGGATGTGCAGAATGGCACGCGTGCCTGCCTGCAATGAGTGATGAAGGCGCGCATGCGCAAAAACCCACCCCAGATTCCTGTAGCATGTAACGTGAACCAGGAGCAGCCGGGGTGCCGATATGCGATCCCATTTGCATGTCGCGGTAGTCGCTGATGGCAGACTGAGGCCCATCGATCCATGCACTGGTAGCCAAGGTATCCAGGGAGATGGCATCCGTACCAGCGCTCTTTGGCCTGCCCATCGAGTCCATTGTGGTCACTGAAGCCCCACCACGGCGACGGGCCACAAACACGGCCAGCAAAACGATGAGCAAGAGTGCGCCCAGCACAGCGACCAGAGCAAAGACCCAGGTTGGAGTGCTGTCGCTCGACTGGGAGCTGCCTTGCAAGACTGGCGGCGCGGTCGACGTTGTGACAATCAAGCACTCTGAGGTTCCCCGCAATCAATAGCAACAAAACAAAGAGAAGAATAGCGTTTGTGAGAACGGCCAATGCCTGTCCAAAACCGAGTCCAAACAGAAGCAAACCAGCCAGGGAAATGAGACAAAACTTTACCGCGATCAGTCGTGGCGGTTGGTGCCGACGCTTCCTGTTCATTTGCACCGTTGCAAGCAGTGGCATCGCCACAAATGCGATCGCTCGAGTAGGTCGGGGCCACAAGCTCAAAGCTGAGTTGAGCCTCGTCTCCACAAAAGCTGTGCAGCCATTCCAAACCCATCTGCGTGATCGGTCAGTGGAATTGAGAAGAGCACGCTGCAGACCAAAAGTCAAACCGTCCAAACATAAGCTCAGCGCTTTCAGCCAACCTGCATGCAAGGAAGAGAAGCATCATAACCCGATGTCCCTGCGGTGACTTCACCGACCAACTCGTCGCAAGCTGCGCAGTGAGACAGGGGCAGAGCTGCAGGGGAAAGCTGTAGATCTCCCCGGCACGACTGAAGCATGAGGCGGGCGCAAGTGCCCGGTACAACAGTTGCGCCATCTACGACGCAGCACAAATACGTAGCAGTAAGGGGCACGGCTGCAGAAGCGGGCTGTATCAAATCCTTAGCCCTCTTGGGTCATAGTTGCCATACCTGCAAGTGCTGCTGTACAGGCCTGGCAGACGGCGTTGGTGCTGGTGGAAACATATCTGCACTGCGTCAAATTACCGCACACGCGATCGCTCCGACTTGTGCGTTCTGTAGCAACGAATTGAGTGGGATTGGTACAGAGCGGGCTGCCAGCAAAGCAAACGGCCGTGGTCAAGCACGTGGAGACGAGCGCACAGCCACGATCCTAGATCACGTCAACCAAGTGTGAGACAGGCGATGAACTGCAATGCCACGTCATAGGAAATTGTTCAAACTAGCCCAAGCGCGTTGTTCCTCTCCCCGCACCCCCCCCCCCCCCCCCTTTTTTTTTCCTCCTCTCTTCTCAACTTGATGGCAGGGGCATGGCCCGAACCAGGGCCGACAGCACACTGACCGAGGTCGCTGTTGGAGCGGCTGTCTGATACTCATTGGCGTCGCACTCTTGGATAGTGTCGCAAATGCGGTTGCTCGAAATCGTCGGGGCCGCAAGCTCATAGCGGTTGCCCGTGCAGGAACGAACAACAAGGCAGGCACGGTCTGAGGTTGTTGTGGGTGCAGTGACCTCAAACTCTTCCGCAGTGCAAGTAGAAAGCGGAGAGCAAACTCGCGCACTCGAGGCCGTAGGCGGCGCGGTCTGAAATTCCGAGATGGTGCAGTTGGGCTGGTATGCACACTGACGGTCGGAAGTTGAGGTTGGAGCAGAGAGTTGATACTGTAAGCTGGAATCGGCGCAGCGTGTAACGGCCGCACAGATCCGATCGTGTGTGGTATTGCCCGGAAACACTTCATACTCGCCAAGACCGCAAGTTGAAAGCGCACGGCACCCGCGATTGCTGGTGGGGGTCGGTGCCACGACCTCAAAAGTGGCGCCCAACACGCACGTAGCCAGTGGCATGCAGACTCGATCTGT